GAAGGTGTGGGGGGGGGGGGATGATATACCAATGCAGGTAAAAGTGGAGAGGTATCTGGGGAGTCAAATGTCTGACAGGTCATAGTGTGTCATAAACCCAATGTCTATATTGAGTCTGTGAGTTTCTGTACCTAGGAGGCTGATGAAGTGCAGTTCATAGGCCCATTTATGCTGCAAGGTATATATTTATCTGAATGCCTATATACATTCTATAAAGTGTGTAGTCTATGTCACAAGGTATAAATGTACAGAAATAAAATATAAATTCATCTCCCTTCCTATATAAATTCTATAGAATAATATCCAATATAATTATAATATTGAAAAGAATAAATCAATGAATATAATAATAAAATAAAAGGGTCTAAAAGAAAGAAAAAGGTATTGTGGAATCCCACTTGCTAGGCTAAACTAGCAAGCAGGAAATCATTCAAATCAATGCTAGCAGTAGCCTTCATTGTCTAACGCTTCTGAGTTGCTGAAAGACACAGCTCAGTAATGGTCAGACTCCAAGGCAGAAAGCAGGCCAGTTCAAACCATGCTGCCTTTTATGCTGTTTTTCCATCCCTCCCCCAGAACACTGGGATTGGAAGTGACCTCAGGGAAGATCCACAGTCACTGGCCAGCTACACAGTCAATATGAGAGCAGTCCTTCCCCCCTCTTCCCCCTCCCTCTCCTTACTTTCTGTTTCCCTGCAGGCAAGCCCAGCTTCAGCTTTGAAACGTTTCAAAACTTTTAAAATGTTTCACCTGACCTTGTTTCGAGGCTGTTTCAAAGCCCTTTGTTTCATTTCAATTTCGCTGTTTCAAGCTTGAAACAAGTCAAAACAGCACTGAAACGAAACAGCCAGTGCAATTTTGCACAGCCCTAATATTCATATGCTTCCCTGTAGCTCTTAAAAGTTGGAGCCAACTTGATGTGGTAAAGAGAGATCTACAGAAATAAATATAACAGTAGGATATCACCTATAAAAACCTTAACTATAACAGTTCCGGAATATACCATGTCTTCGATAACACCGAACAACCCTAACCCCAAATCTACAGAGGCAAGAATGCTATCAACTGAATCTTGCTGTCAGTGCTATGGGGTTATTCTTCATTGTGCCCTTATAGAAAAGAAAATATAAAGAAAACCCACCCAATAGAAAGATCTCATGAAAGTTCATGGCATGAAAAACATGAAAAAGAAATACATACAGCGATCCCACAAATGCCACATCAAACCAAAAAGCCAGGCCATGGATTAGTCCAGACTGCATCATCTGGAAAATGAAGGGGATTTCCACTCTGCAGAAGAAAAATTAAATGTTGCCAAATAATATACTTAAAGTACTGGAGACAAAAGTCAAACAAACATTCTGCTGAAACCTGTTTATGGGCAATTTCTACATTTTCATGATTAACACACCAGCTTGTGTTTGAAGTGCCAAGCATAGTCTAAACCAATAGGTTTAAAATATTACACTGGAAATATACAGCCTGATTTTCAAAGGCGCTGATCAATTATTCTTAATAAAATCCAGTGAAAAATGCAAGAGCACAATGTCTCTAAAATTTAGGGCATTAACTTTTACGTATGAATTCTTCAGCAGCAGTCCCCATTGCTGCATTACCCAGGCTACTTTAAATGAAGGTGCTTGGTTTTTAATATGAAGGAGACTCAAATATGGTTTTCCATACATAAATCTTTTAAAATGTCAATGCAACAACAGAGATTAGTTCTGTAGAAGCAATAAACCCAGAATAGTAATAGCAAGTTGGTATTTATATAAAACACCTGCAATGACTTGTGCTATGAAGACAAGGTATATGATTTTCCATACCTATTTTCTTTTCCTTAGTGAGGTTGTAGTTTAAATATTTCAAGTTGGACTACCATCATGTGTCTGAAAACTTCTATTGCTATTGAATAACTAGGGTTACATACAGGAGTTGCATTTAGATCAACCTAACCAGGCTTAGGTTGATCTAAATGCCTCATCAGACAGGTGTTACTGTTGACAGTTGTCAGAGGTCTTTAAAAAAATCACTCAAAAATGGCACACCCAATCTAAATTAGTTCACCTGAGTAGGTGCAGTAACTTAGATCAAGATCAGGTTAACCTAGCATGGCCATCATAGAGGACAGTCTGGTTGTCCTCTGTTCTCTACTGATAAAAAACCGAATGCCTTTATGTTCTTTTTCTTCTCTTAAAGAGAAAAATAGTGGACATAAAGGTGTTGGGTTTCATCTCAATAGAGAACAGAGGACAGAGTAGCAGAAAACTGGAATGTCCTCTATGATGGCCACCCTAGGTTAATCTGATGTCTCGAACTATATGTGTTCTCAGCACAGCTCTGGGGCTGGAAAAGCCCAGTTGTGCATCCCAACTCCAGGGGCTGAGCTACTCCCATCCCCACACTGACCGGGCTATTTGTAGCCTCCTGATCCCCCTCCTCAATGACGGGAAAGACCTACGAATCCCCACTGCAGAACTGCTAGACCCCCTTCCCATCCTACCAAACCCCAGTGGACCCACTAGCCCCTCCTGCCACCCCAACCTTTACTTCCATCAGATTCCTTATTCCACTCCTGGAATGTTTAGACAGCTTAAAGCAAGTCACATGAACACAGACTGAGTGTGGTGAATTGCTGCACACACCCTAAGTGATAAAGCCTTTCCTCTAACATTAAAGGCTACATTCCTAAAAAAAAAACCTTAAGCATATGCTTCACTTTAACCATGGTTAAGATGGTTAAGGACTCACTTGAGATCTCAAACATTCCATCAGCACAAACATTTTTAGAACAGCAGAAAAGAGCAGCATTATCATTCTTTTGTGGTATTATAGTACAACAATCAACTCTCAGCACATGGCCAGGTTTTGCTAAGGAACTTGGACTCAACCTCCTGAGTGGAGCTGACTAAAAAATGGAATTTCTACCCTGCAGGAAATTCCAATATTGCACTATTATTTTTGTATTAAAACTAAAACAAAAAAGTCAAAATGTTATGACTTTGTACAGGACAAAAAAGAGTTCTGAGAAAAATCATTTTGGAAAAAGTTGACATGGTTCATTAGAGACTATTACATTAAAATGAAACAATTTGACATTCCCCAGCCAAAATTGTACATTTCAACACTAACTTCTGCATCTGAATAAGCCAGGATTACCAGCTCTGAAAGCAGTATTTCTGGAAATGAGATATATCATTAACTAGTTGTATCCTGCAAAAGCAATCCACAGTACTAGCTCTTTGAGGACTTATTAAAAGAGAGAAAAATACATTCTGGAGGAAGGATAATAATAAAAAACTAGTAAGAAATTGCAGTGATTTTCTTAGGCTTACCAAACAAAGCACTCTACACTGTGGTGCTCGGTGTGCTGGCAGTGCATTCAGTCCTGTAATTTCCACTGAATATTAATAAAACTAAAAATACATCAGGCATATAAGACTTCAAAAACTGCCTCTTAATCATTTTAATACAAATCTCAGGTAGATTGCACAGCACAGTGAATATCTGAAGAACCTGTCACCCCCATAATCTGACATAAGCAAATTAGTCAAATTTGCTTATGTCAAATTTGTCAAATTTGACATAGCAAATTAGTCAAAAAGTCTCCACACAGCACATTTTTACATCCATATTCTGTATTAGCTTCAAGGTTCACCTCTTGCCCAGGAAAGCCTTTCAGAACCTTGTTCTTGCCTCCCTCACTGACTTGTTGAGAGAATTAATGAACACGAGTAAAGTGTTTTGAAGATGATACACCTGAGGTTATAGGGATGTATATCCTAATAAAAATCATTTCAGCGGCCTGGGGCATGGCACATTTTAGTAGCAGAAGACCCCAAATGTCAGTTTATCTCATACTTTCCCTCTCAAACCTAGTCATAATACTTTTCTTAGATGTTGCCACCATATGCTACTTTAAAAAAAATCACTGCCTAGTGAATTGCTGCCTAGTGAACTGTTGCACTAATTTTCTATCCCAGATGCTGCGTCTGTGTTGCAACTGTAGCAGATAAAAGGAATCTACAGCTGAGAACCTAAGACCATGACTAGTAGGTCTGTGCAAAGCAGCAAGTATTCGCTTCAAATTTGGATTTGGCTGATTCGGAGAGGCAGTGATTCAATTCGGTGATTCGAATCACTGTCTCGATTTGATTTGGCCAGTTCAGATTCAGAGATTCAGCGCCGATTCGGAGATTCGTCCATAGACTATAATGGGGAAATCACTAAAATACCTATAACTTTGTGTCACAGAGCACTAAGGTGCCCTGCTCCCAAAGAGGGGTGTCACAGAGTACTGAGGTGCCCTGCTCCCAAAGAGGGAAAAACTGCTGGGGAGGAAGCCCTAGCAGGAAATAAGGAGCCCAGCTGTGGGTTGCCGGGGCAACCAGGGAAGGTCAGCTGACCAGAAGGGGCAGGGCTTGGCTCCCTTATAAACCCTAGGGGCTGGAGCTAGAGGCAGTTCCCTGCCAGCTGCCAAAGGGGAAGGAGCTCTCTGCCCTGGGAGAGAGGGGAAACCTGATACAGGAGCTGCAGCCAACATTGCTGAGAGTTAAAGGGTCACTGGTAGGACCGAATGTTGTTTGGGCCAGTTGGCTTCTGTTTATGTTATAGCCGAAGGGCTCGCGTTTATGTTGTTGTTTGTGACCGGTGGTTTGGGAGAGGCCATTAGGGGTTGGAGGAGGCCTCATAGGGAACTCACAGAGGAGTGTGAGGACCCCAGTGCCCATGAGGGCGTAGTGTTTGGGGTGCATAGACCCCAGCCCTACAGAAGGGCAGTTGAGAATCCCCAGAGAGGGGGCATTACTGAGAGGCCTCAGTGAGGGCCTGGTGACCCCCAGAGAAGGGGCGGCCTTATCGAGAAGCCCAGTGCGGGCATGCTGAGCCCAGAGAGGGCAGCCTGACAGAGAAGGCCCCGAGAGAGGGCAGCAGTATTGAGGAGCGCCCTGAGAGGGGGCAAAAGCCCCAGAGAAGGGGGCAGTTACTGAGAAGCCCCAGGGCAGGTGTGGTGAGCCCCGGAGAGGGGTCGGCACTACCGGGGAGCCCCAGAGAGGGGGCAGTTGCCGAGAAGCCCCAGAGGAGGGGGCATTATTGGGGAGCCCCAGAGAGGGGGCGGCGTAACTGAGGAGGCTCAGAGAGGACAAAAAGGGCATAATTAGAAACATCTATTCCATCGAGGTGTGGACTGTGGTGTAGGGGAGGAAATGGAGCTGCAGATGGCGCCCCCTGGCAGCGGGGCAGTACAAGGGCAGCCTTCTGCTAATTAACACCAATTAATTAATTAACAACAAGGCATAGCAGGCGAGTAGGCGGGCGGTTGCCCCCCAGGAACAGGTGTGCGGGCCACGTTTAGGTCGGCTCAGATCGCGTACCTGTCACTTGGTCATTTTTTTGTGGATTCAGATGAAAACAGCAGGGATGGTAGCTCCTTCTGAGGGCATAAAGCCTGCCAAGTGTCAAGGAGATAGGTGCAGGGGTTTCTGTGAAAGTGCCCCTTAAACTGTTGAAAGCAAAACTCATATCATTTGTGTGTGTTAAGGCAGAGCAGGATGAAAACAGCAGGGATGGTAGCCCCTCATGCGGGCATGAGGCCTGCTAGGTTTCAGGCAGAGTGGTACAGGGGTATCTGTGAAAGTGGACTTCAAGGTTCTGAGAGCAAATAATAAAAAGAAATAGGTGAGGAGGTGGCACTCACTCCATCTGCATGTGTAGCTTGGGGAACCCCAGCAGCGGGAGGTTCACCTTCAGGAACACCCGCTGCTCCACCAAACCAGGATCCAAGGAGGTGTGGTGGGGTGTCACTACATCCCCAGCAATGCTGAACACCCTCTCACTTGGAACACTAGTCAGGGGACAGGACAGGATCCCACATCCCTCTGCCTCTGGCCTCCTGCCTCCCTGACTCTGTTCACCAGCAACTCTGTCCAGTGATTGAGGCTTTTACTGCTGCAAATGCTCCCCTTCGGGTCGTACATGCTCGTCAGCACGTGGACCATACTGGACTGCACTGGTCCAGCTGTTTTTGATGCCCTCCTTCAGCTGCTTCACCAGTGCCTGCACCTCTGGTCAAAGCAGCTTGCCCCAGCCAGGAACATCAATCCCCTGGAACTTCTCCATTTCGTTCTCAAGCTCCTTCACTACAGGAATCACCTGGCTAAGGAAGGCACTGCCAGCACTGAGGCTCTTGGTGGCCTCGAGGAATGGCTTGAGGACCACCAAGATCTGGGAGATGGTATCCCACTCAGTTTTAAGGGGGATGCTGATCCCAATCTCCCTGACCAAAGCCATCTCATGGATGGCCATCTGTTGCTCCACCAGCTTTTCGAGCACCAGGTATGTGGAGTTCCATCAAGTATCCACATCCTGCACGATTTTGTGCTGCAAGATGCTCAGCTCTGCCTGTTTGTCCCACAGTATCTTGCCTCCTTGGATGCTGCGGTGGAAGTAGCCTGCCACCTTCCTGCGTTTTGAAATCAGCTGGGTGGTAGTGACATCAGCAGCAGCCCTGTCCCCCTGCAAGGCATCCCTGACTATGAGGTGGAACTTGTGTGCCGCACAGCGGATGCCAACAAAGTTGGAATCGCGCATCACCTTGACCACGTTGGCCCCATTGTCAGTGACCATGAAGCCGCAGATGAGCTCACCCTGCCCCATGAGCCACCCCTGCACCATGAGGTTCATGGCAACCATGATCTCCCTTGCCGTGTGGGACTCATCCATCACCTCCACTTGAAGGAGAGCCCACCAACACCCTGACTGATCATACCAGTGCCCTGTGAGAGAGAGGTAGGCATGATCTCCACCCTGGCTACTCCAGATGTCCAAGGTAAAGTGCAAGCCTACCTGTGGACCTGCCTTCTGCAGCTCCTCCCTCAAGTACTCCCTCCATGCCTCATATAGGGAGGCCACCACCGTCCTGCTAAGGGTGGTGCATGCAGGCACTTGGTACAATGGAACCATGAGCGCCTTGAGCCACCTGAACCCTGGACACTCAACAAAGGAGAAGGGCTGGCCATCCAGAGCAAGCACTTCCCCAATGCTCTGGGTGACCTCGCTCGCCTTTGGAATGAGCCCCACTTTGTCTCTGCCTTCCCCCACTTGTCCAGGGTGGCCTGCCTCCGCTTCTTGGGGATGGGGGCTTTCAAGCGAGAGGGGGATTTCTTTTTGGGCATGCTCCCACTGGTGCCAGGATGAGGAGGAACAAGGGCCTGGCTGAGGAAGAACAAGGGGTGCTGCCTCCTGAGATGTAGCAGCATCACCATAGTGGGAAAATGTTTCACATTCTTGCCCCGGCTAATCTGCCATCAGCAGTGCTGGCAGGTAGCATACCTGGGATCATCTGCCACCTCAAAATGATCCCACACTACACTACCCACCTGCTTCTGGATTGAGGGTGGGGATCCTGCCTTATCCCCCTCCTCACTGGGCAGAGGCACAACAATAGAAGGAGCTGAGCCACCTGCCTCCACAACCTCCTCTGAAGTGCCTTCCAGAGAATGAGATCTGCCTCTAGGGGAACTTTGAGAGGTGTGGAGCACAAACTCAGATTCCTTCTCCTTCCCCAGAATTCCCTTTGCTATGGCCTTCAACTCCTCTGCTTCCAGATCCAGCTGTTCCTCTGGCACTGGAGGGCTCATGCTGGGAACTGAAATTGGGATGGAGAAGGTCAGGCTGCTGCTGGTTAGTGGTGTTAGTGGTGGTGGTGCAGGTACAGGCACTGCTACCACCTCCTTGCTCCCACTAACAGCAGAAGACTCACTGCCACCAGAAAACAGGGTGTGTCTATGTTTGGGGCGGGGAGAACTTGCAGCTCTCCCTCTGCCCCCTCTCTCTCCCCTGCCAGAAGACGTGGCACCTGCCTTTCCAGCAAGTTTCATAATGTGTGTGTGTGTGTGTGCGCGCGTCCTGCACAATGATGACAGACTTTCATGGAAAACACAGATTTCTTTTTGTCAGGGGAAAGAATCAAGACAGACTAATAAGATCAAATAAGAGGATTTGGGGGGAAGAATTAAGTTGAAAGGAATGCATAGGGATAATGATAGGGAATGTAGGCAAGGGTAGGTAGGAAAGGATTGGATACAACTTACAAGAAGAGAGAGTAGCTGCAAGAGACTAAGGCTTTCAGATGCTGCTGCTCCAAGAAAGACACAGCTCACAAAAGGCACACTTCAGACACAGCTTTATATATTGTTTCTACGTCCCTTCCTCAGAGCACTGTGATTGGAAGGGAACTCAGAAAAAGATCACAGTCACTGGCCAGCTACAGATGTTCATATCAGAGCAGTCCTTCCCCCGCTCTCAGCCTTTTCCATATATGGAAGATCACCCCATCCCGTCCCTCTTCTCAGTTTCTGTTTGCTGCAAATCGTCTACTGAAGTTCTGCACAGCCCTAATGACTAGAGCAAAACAAATTACTTCGCTGTTTTGAACATAGCTCAGTACCATCAGTATTTTCCTGTCTTTGAGCTCAAAACACATTACCAAATAATTTTACAAATGAAGACAACTGTGACAGCAATCTATACCAACCTGTGCAAATCTTCTTCCACAGCATCCATAAAATTAACAGTGTACTTCACTGTCCGTGCCATCAAAATTCTAATGTCAAAAGTGTCCTGAGGAAAAAAGTCAAAAGTGCAATCATTCTGTCTTGCCAACTTGTAAACTAGTCTTCTGTCACCCAGAGTCTCCATTTAATATTTTATTTATTTTCTGTAACAGCTTTTCAAACATTCTAGTAGACTTTGCATTACTTAGAATGAGTACATTTGATCGTTCACACATGTTACAAATCTGTTTTATTGGGGGGAAAAAGACACTACTAAACCAATCCTTAATGGGTTTTTTTTTTTTTTTTTTTTTTTTTTTAAATAAAGGAAGCTACATTTTCTCTGTCTTTCCCTCACACACACAATTTAACCTGCCCTCTACTACTAGACAGTGTTTCCCCAATTAAGCATTCTGGAAATATGTTGATGAGTTAAATATAAACATATGTGAAAACAAAACCGTTTATGCAGAATGCCCTATAATAGTGAAGTTAGGAACAGTCAGCACAGAAGTAAATCAAAGCATCTTTTCCCCATATAATTATTTTGTACATCCACTAATCCAGACTCTTCACTGATCACAAGCTTCCTATCAATGCAAAAAAAACCCATAAGCTTTTTTTAAGATAAACATTGCTGATGCCCAAAAGGGACTCCGGACTGCCTACAGGACTAAGAGGCAAATCCCAAGATATTTTTTTTTCTTTTTAACTTCCGTATTTGTGGATTCAATAATACATGCCTTTTTATCTTAAAAGGACAGGCATAAACTAAGAAAACAAAAGATTACTGAAAAAGGCTTGGTTTATAATACAATAAGCTTCATCTCTACTGTTTGGCTCAACTCACTAATAGTGGAATAACAGCAGTGGTCTATAGCAGTGATTTTCAGTTAGGGTGCCGAGATCCCCTTAAGTGTACCACAACACAATATGAGGTGTGCAAACATGCGCACGTGATTCACAAGATAAACCCAGAGATTTCAAATGGGAATCCACTGTGCCCAAAACATTCTGACTTGTTGCAGTCTTTCTGCTCAGATCCAGATGCGCAGGCACATGTGGTTTGTGATGCCACACACCTCATTGCTATGTCACAAACTGCATGTGTTACATGTTAAACTGTAGCCCCTGCTACTAATTTGCAGTGCTGGGGCAAAATTTGCTACTGCAATTTCCCAGTAGCAAAAAAACCCTAAAGAAAAAGCAGTGCAAAGCATGTCAAAATACAGTGTGTCACAACAAATGTCCCTGCATGCCATGGAGCTCCAGGCTGAGGCACCCTGTGCCCCAGCCAGCCCCACCTCTCCACCCCCGCCCTGCAGCACATGAAGCAGCAGGAAAATGTGTATATCTGAAAACCTCATGAGCAAGGGTGTGCAGTGTAGTATAAAGTACTGGCACAAATTTGTGCTGCTACTGCCTGCGCCGCTGCAAATGCACGCCCCTACTCATGTGGACACGGCCTCTGAGTTCTTTGCAACAGAAGAATTGTTTTGGTTGGGGTTTTTTTGCAATCAAGAAATAAGTGAAAGCTAAGAGTTGGCATTTTCTGAGGGTTGCCTTGAATCTAATGAAGGGAGCCTTGAATCTAAAATGATTGAGAACCACTGATGTGTAGCGTAGTGACTGCTGCTTGCAAAGACATGCTTGAGCTAGCTTTGAACTATTTAGTTCAGGCATTGCTAGCAGTGTAGATATGGCAGTACAGAGCTCAAAGCAGGCTTACTCTTCCATAGGCTCCCACAGATTTTGCAGGCAAATGCTGAGCCCCATACAGTCACAGTTATGCTGACCTAGCTAGTTTGAAACCACACAAGCGGTTTCAAACTGACTGAAAGGTAGGCATATCCACCAGAGGCATGAATCACTAAAGAGTTCACAGAAGGAGAGAGAACAGAACTGACGGTGCTCATTCCGAGGCAGCCATTTAATTGGAAAGGTCATGTATAAAAGGGATTCCTGCCTTTCTGTAGAAACATGGTCAAAGGGCTGCCTTTTAATTTTGTTTTACTTGGTGCAACAGATGAGGGAAGGGAAAAATAAAGACATTTTGCACATTCCAGCATAAAGCTCTAATGCCTCTTTTGGGGATTGTGAACTCTGGGGAGGCTCATGTTCTCAGCAGTGAAACCATGGAATTTACAGGTTTCACATTTTGGAAAGGTACCAACAGTCTCAGATCCAAAGAAAACACACGAGAGGTGGCAAGATGTGAGCAGTTTAGTGGTGAGTATCCAAGAAACTGAAGAGTAGAAAGTTGATAAAACTAAGGAGAGTTGAATCTGATCATCTTAAATACTATAACAGATCCCACATAGGCTTGCTTCAAAAATCCTCAGCAGGTTATGAAGACAAGATAGTTGGTGCAATGGTCTGACAGGCAACAGGGTAATTGACTCCTTCTTTAAGTAGCAAGGAGTAAACAGTCAAATACTGAACATCTGGGGATGTTGGATCTCTATTTGGGTACTTAAATATATTGAACTGAAGATACTGATTCTACAAGTTTCAAATGTATCATACCAAGCTATGTGTAGGACTCTGAGCCTATAAGGGTGGCACGGGCATAAGTGTTGACCCACTGGATAACAGTTTCCTACAATTTAAAAGCCAAGTGTGAACATTAGAGATTTCCCAGATAGACGCCTGTGAAACTCTGTGGAGCAGATGAGGTAGGAGAGGAAGAAAATTACTTACAACAATAGGTTGTCTGAAGTATTCATCCACAGCTGCACTGCGGAGACTGGACAGATTGACCCCATAAAAACACTGCTGGTACCTAGAAAAAGTAACGTGTCATAAAGTATTTAGTGGAAGAAGTCTTCCTGGGCTCCCTCTGACACCCACAGAATTTACGAACAATTATATCTTTAGAGGAAGTGACCAAGCACTTCCTTCCTTTTATGAAATTTGCAGAAGACTCGAATCACCTCCCTCTCCACTCCCTCCTCATGTTACACCATGCACAAATTGTGGGTCATCGCCTATGGCATCAGGGAAGTCCACTGCTTGTTAGATTATCTTGTAACATCCTTCCTGAGGAGAAATTCAGTGCCCTCAACTACAGGGGAAAAGACTTAGCGTTAATTTGTTAACATTTCAATGACTTAGCAACCTCTGACAACAAACCAAAACTAGGAATGTTCCTAATAGGGATACGATCAGGGTCTTAAGTGTACTACAGGTTCTCAAGATCGGAGGAGAATGTGTAAAATCTTACATTCCATTTTTTTACATCAAATATTTAGAATATTGTTTCATTTCTCAAAACAAAATGCTTAGCTTAAACCAGGCTGACAGTGCTTCTTTAAGATTCATTACTTTTGCTTTAAAGAGAGAGCCTAAATATTTGCAGCCTATAAAAGGAGAAGGTCTTTCTGACCAGGTCCATAAGGAAGATACTAAAAGGAAGGACTTCAGTTGTTTCTGGAACAGTAAGCACAACAAGAGAGATCATCTAACACCACCAATCACAGGAAGTCGCTTACCATTGTCAGGGTGTTAACTACTGCATAAATAGATACCCTCTAACTTGTCACTGAGAAAAGAAACAGATTTTTATCATGGTCTTGTATGATTGAACATATTTAGACAGGACTCTGGGCAACAGAAAGAGAAATCTATTTCATAAATTACAAAAGAATCACTGTCTTGGAATGCAAGATCAAGAATACTGATCCAACTCAAGTTAATTTGCATTAAGGTAAACTAATCTTTAAGCCTGAAAAAGCAAAGCCTTACAGGCCTATGATTATGATTGCTTTGGATTTGTACTGTAATAAACCCACAGTTGGGCTAACTAGTTCACCCTTCTTTTCCTCACTTAATAAATTAACTGTTCAAGATTTTGTGATCAGTTTTTGGAGCCATATCTCAGACTTTGTATTTTCACCATGACCAACTTAACTTGCATCTTCAGCCATTTCTTTTGCCTTTCTGCTATGATACTGTTGGAATTAAAGTAATGGCTCTGAAAATGCAAAAGATCTTCCTCTCATGTTATGCAGTATTATCTTCCTGGACACTATTAGTCATATGGAACAAATTACCACATACACAGATTTTTAAATTGGTAATCCAGGAGTTTAAATTAACATATTTCTTAAGAGATGAAAATCTAGGTCTTATAGAAATGGTAGCAGCCATAACTTAATTAAACAACAGAGGAATAAGAACACTCTACCTATGACACTTTCCCCAATTCTGTGACATTCAGGGGTAGGCCTGGTTGTCTAGCTCTTCTAGTATAAAAGAAATGGGGTTAAGTGGGCAGTGGTGAAAACATTACACTTTCATTGCTAGAGACCATTTTTTGGCTCAAGAGTACAAGTAGAATTAATTTGTTCACCCTTCACTTATTGCCCAAAACTATAAAATACTCAAGACACTCTAGAAACTGCTCACGATTAAGCCATCTGTCTGCTGTAGACATCCATTACCAATAAAAACACTGTCAGAGTTAGAATAACCTAATAAGATGCACACATTTTTTGCTAGAGGGTTACCAGGACCAGAATAAACTCAGTGTGGCAGGTACCTATGTTGCTTTGTCTAAGTCTAAAACTCAGGCAAAGCCTGAGTGGATTTATCCATTCTAATTGCATTTTTACTTTCATGACAAATGTATATGAAACTTATTTACCAAAATTAAGAAAAAGTGTGCTGAAGAAAGCCATCAAAGCACTGGAAAGAGAATCCTGTTACAAAGCTCGTAGATTTGGGGTTAGAGAATGGCTTAATTTATTTCATGGCCTACTACTGTAATAACAAGCTAATGATGAGGATGATGATAAAATTCTTGGCTGGGCAGAGGGGAAGTGAATTCTGGTTTCAGATCCTGTTAACTGGAAAGTGCTTCTATAATCAAAATGTTTTTTCCCCATGTGTACATAAATAACATTTTGATTCTGGAAGCACCTTCCAGTTAACAGGACCTGAAACCAGAATTCACTTCCCCTCTGCCCAACCAAAAATTTTATCATCATCCTCATCATTACAGTAGTGCCCCATGTCGGGACCCAGGGCAGCCGGCCAGCAGCTCTCCCTGACTCCCACCCGGCCAGATAAGGGTCCGTCAGGCGGGTACTTGTGACGCTTGCTGTGGAATTAATTAGGCGGACGCTTATCGGTTGCAAAGCAAGATTATTTACTCACGCCGTCAAGGTGGTAAAAGATGGAGGTCAAAGATACTTGGTTAGTTACAGCTTAAGGTTTGTAGGTCGTAAAAGAGTTCGTCGGTCTGCATAAGAGGCAGAGAAATGGAGAAAAGGTCGGGCCGGCAAGTCGTCGATTTACGTCTGAGAATTGGGTCGAGACGGGGGAGAAACTGACAAGTGCGCAATTTGTCAGTTACTCTTACGCATACGTTCAGAGGTTTTTTCAGTTACTCTTACGCATACGTTCAGAGGTTTTTTCAGTTACTCTTACGCATACGTTCAGAGGTTTTTTCAGTTACTCTTACGCATACGTTCAGAGGTTTTTTCAGTTACTCTTACGCATACGTTCAGAGGTTTTTTCAGTTACTCTTACGCATACGTTCAGAGGTTTTTTCAGTTACTCTTACGCATACGTTCAGAGGTTTTTTCAGAGAATGGGGTCTCCCATTCTTCACGGAAGTGAAGACGGGTTTTATTTGTGTAATAGTCAATTGCTTTTCGCCACGTTATAAATTTAATTAGAATCGCCAATTGTATAGTGGTCTTCGCTAGGGTGTTATTATAGGGTTACTCCTTGTTTTCTTTGACCAATTATAATGATTTATGTACAGCACAGAAGGCTAAGTTCTATTTCATGTTGGTGTCGCAGTTATAAATTTCTTTTTGACATGCACAGCAAAAAAAGCGGTTACTATCATTATTGTTAACCCTTAGTTAACCTAGTGTAGAAAAAAACTGTTTTGAATGGTTTTATTGTTTGTGACATGGGCACTACTTAATTTGGTTGTGACACCCCACAGCGTTAGAAGTTTGATGGGGCCATCACAAGGCCAGTCTAATCATTGGCCCGCCCACCTACCTCTCCTGCCATGCCTTTGATATAACCAACTAGCAGTTGTTTATAAGGTGGGAGGCTGCCCATTTTACTGCCCGATGCCAAGGGCATAATACACGGCTCCATACCATCCTTACACTGTGTCCCATACCTCACAAATAGCATCACTATATGGCTCCAGCCCCACAATGGACCTTCTTCCATGCCCACCTGACATTAGGACCCTCCTAGATCCTTCCTTCTCTGACCCTCCCGGGACCAAAAGGTGGCCAAAGGTCCTGGAGGGGACCACTGCCAAGCTCCCTAAACCCTTCTCCCTTTTGGCAGTGGTCCCCTCCAGGACCTTTGGCCACACAGGCTCTGGGAGTCTTTCATGGTGAGTGCTCTGGCCTTTCAACCATTCTGGTCCTGGGCCCAGCACTGACCAGTTGAGGTTACTCCAGTTAAGTTTATGAGCTGCTTGCCCTCACTCTCCCATATGGGTCCAACTTCTTGGGCCCCTCCAAACCTAGTTCATTCAATTACCAAAGCCAGCCTATGTGCAGTCCTTCAGGCCCGCCTACTCTACACATCTTTCTGACTTGATCGCTCTACTGCTTTCTCACATACACTCACTGGGCCCACTACTCCACCCCCTCTGGGGCTCTCAGACTTATGCCCCTTGGCTCTCAGGCGTGATGACATTTCTGGACCCTTTGCCTGTCCCCTCTATAGGGTAACCCACCAGGTCATGGGGGCTGAGGCTATACAGTGCTCCATACTAGCCTTTCACTAGGGAGGCAGTGGTATGGCATTTTCTGGGGACCACCCTACCACAGGCAGCCCCACTACACCATCCAACCTTAGCAGAGTGTAGTTTTAGGTCATGCCTCAGGACCAGGAACCTCCTCCATCCCCATATAGTTCCTACCCTTTCCTCCAGGTTTTCTGGGAGCAGCAGCTCTGGCTGGTGATGTTATCCCTCTGGCTCCCTGCAGCAACTTCCCACTTAGCTCTGAGGGCTTGGGTTTATACTGAGGCTGCCCAGCCCCATCCTCCAATCCAGGAGCCCTCTTGTAGCCATGTGACCACCTCATTAAGCCACACCACACCTACCAGCTGTTCCTCAGCCTGTTCAAGCCTCTTAAAGTAGCAGGCACCAAAGGTGCCCTGCCACAGAAGTTATATGAAATAAATGAAGTTACTCTCTACCCCCAAATCTACAAGCTTTGTAACAGGATGTTCTTTCCAGTGCTTTGATAACTCTCTTCACCACACTTTTACTTAATTTTGGTAAATACATTTCATATGCAAATACATATATATATGCATACACACACACGCGCACACACACACACACAATGCAGTGTCATGTATTTTTATGGGTGAATTTTTTAGAACCAACCCTTACAGGGCTGTAGAATTATTTATATATATTTTATATCTGTCAAAGAGAGAGGGATCTCTCTCTCTTCCCCCTCCCGCTCCCTCCCTATAATTGTACAGCCCAGTAAGGGTTGGTTCTAAAAATTCCCCCCCCCAAAATACATGACACTGCATAATATTTTAAGACAAAACATATCCATTAGCTCTAGATCAAGTTTTTTAATGGCTCTTAAAAGCAGCTTGTACATTTATATTAATAAAATGTATGTAGATAATATTACAAGAATATAAGCAGCTGAAATCTTGAAGTATTTACTAATGACTGGAACAGTCAATTTTTCCACCACCAGTAGAGTTACTATAAACATGCAAGGTATACATAGCTAGATGTGGACAGAATGTGTATGTGCATCACAGACACTACTGTAAGCCATCAAATAAAGTTTTTGCATTCCCTACTAATGGAGATGAAGCATCACAAGTGACCTGAAAATGGAATACTTTGATGCTCCCAGTAACAGTCCTGTAGAGACCTGCTATGTTTCTGCTTCAGACTGCTAATTAGACATCTATTTCCCTCATGAAGCTCTAACAATCCCTGATGTTGCATTATAACTTTCCAAGGAAGCTGTCACCTGGCCCAGCAAAAAACAGGCCCCATTTCATCCCATTTGTATTTATTATATTTTGAGTAAAAATGACAAGAACAGTAGTGGAAGATTAACAAGGAGGGAACTGAAGTGATCGATGGGTCACCTGAGGCTGCTTCTATTTTTTCTGATTTCTAGGCACAAACATATTCCTGTTTTTTCAACTAATATTACTAAGAAAAGAGCCTATCCCAATATTTCCAACTAATGTTAAGTATGTTGCTCATAAAGCATCAACCTGCTACACTACAAGAGTCACATATAGAAGCAACTTGAAGACATTCCCTCCTTAGGACTTGGGCACTTAGCAGAAGTAAGAAGTGTCCTGGAAGTCCAATGGAAGGCAGGAAAAGTGAGACAGCTGAAGCCTAGCTGAAACTATGCTGTCTTTTAGGGGTGTGTGAAACAGGCTGTATTCAATTCATATTTGGCTCGAACTGGGGACAGTGATATGATCTGTTGATTCAGATCACTGTCCCTGATTCAATTCAGCCAAATCCAAATCTGAAGATTCGATGCCGATTCAGAGAATCAGCGATTCAGCTGTAGACACAGCGTTAAATGTTTTTTCTACATGCCTCAAGGTACCAGGCGTGACTTGCGAACACTGCAATGCTGGGGAGGATGGAATGTCCCACAGGAGCACGGCGGACCCCCCCGCATGCTTGGCAGTGAACCCAGAAGTTGACCAGAAGTACTTCCAGTCCACTTCTGGGACTGCCAGGGAGCATGCTGGGGGCTCCCCCACACCCCCCTAGCTTGACGGTCCGCCATGGGGGGACTCTGGGTGCCCCCCCAGACCCAGGAACCACCAGTCGCTGAGCCGGGAAGGCGTGGAGGGGCCCCCCCAGTGCGCACCCCAGCAGTGCTTCTGGTCCACTTTCAGGTCTTCTGCCAGCATCTCAGCATTCACGAGCCGCCTGTTACCTTGAGGTACATAGAAAAAACATTTAAAGCTATGTCTATGTCTGAATTGTCAAATCTTTCTGAATCTCTCCGAATCGATTCAGAGGGTTCTGATTCAATTTGGAGAGATTAAAGGGTCACCTGATTCAATTCAGATTTGGAGATTTGCCCACTGAATCAGGCTGAATCTCCACCAAATCAAATCAGGGACTGAAGCTTTGCACAGCCCTACTGTCTTTATAGTACCGTATTTTAAACCTGATAATTCTGAGGTAGTTAATGACAAAAGCAGAATGAACAGTAACGTCCTAAGGCATCCTGTTTACTCACTTTTATCTCAAGGAAAGGCATCACTGTGGAACCTATCATGGGGTAATCCACCCTGAGAATAATCAAAGCAAGGAAGAAGTTCACAGTGATAGCCTTTGTGGCTGGGATGCAAAAAATGTGGGGGTTGTTGGTATTGTTGAATAAAGTGTTTCTTGACCCGTGGGTTAAAATCCAAAAGTGGGTCACATAAATATATGAAAGGGTTACAAACAAACTTTAAAAATGGATTCTCTTTTAAAGGAGAAAAATGTGGGAAACTGTGGCCTTTTCCTTGCAGACTGTCAGACTTCTAGCATGCAAGGGGCTGCTTGAGACCCCCGCCATGCCCACCCACACCCACCCTACACACTGGAGGGCTGGGGCTGGAGGCAGTGTGTCGGGAGTGAGGGGCACTGGTCATCCATGTTTATAGACAGGTCCTGGTACAAAAAAGGTTGAGAACCACTAGGATAGATGACCCATCCAGACAGATAATTTCTTCCTAAATCCAGGCAAATAATGAACTGATTGAAAGCAAGTGATCTATTATTTAAATCTCCCATCACTTTCCATATTGCAAATGAGAAGAATGGCTGGAAGTGGGACTATACCAAGTCTCCAAGATAATTAAATGAGTTTAATATAATTAATCTTTATAGTTTCATAGCTTTTTAAACCAAGGGTCATAAAGTACTTTACCAATGGCTATTTAAACTTCATTATGAGCTATAAGAATTATGTAAGATAGTTTCAAAGTAGCTAGGGTCAGGAGGGACCTGAACAGATCATCTAGCCTGACCTCCTGCCACAGGCAGGAATTAATGCTGGGTTCACAAGACCCCAGACAGGTGATCATCTAACCTCCTCTTGAATTTGCCCAAGGTAGGGGCGAGGACCACTTCCCTGGGAAGTTGGTTCCAGATTTTGGCCACCCTAACTGTAAAATATTGCCTTCTGATCTCTAACCTAAACCTATTCTCCATCAGCTTATTACCATTCTTCCTTGTCACCCCAGGTGGTGCTGGGGAGAAAAGGGCTCTACCTATTTGCTGTTGATTTTTCCTGATGAGTTTTTAGGCAGCCACCAGGTCCCCCCTCAACCTCCTCTTGCTGAGGCTGAACAGGTTCAGGTCCCCCAGTCTCTCCTCGTAGGGCCTGTCCTGCTGCCCTCTCGTCAAGTGGCTGGGCCTCCTATGAACCCTCTCCAGACTGGCCAAATCCCTTTTGAAGTGCGGCGCCCAGTACTGGACGCAGTACTCCAACTGCGGTCTGACCAAAGTCGCATAGAGGGGGAGTATCACCTCTCTGGACCAGCTTGAGATGCACCTTTGGATGCGTGACAAGGTATGGCTAGCCTTGCTGGCTGTGGTCTGGCATTGGTGGCTCATGTTCATCTTGGAGTCAATAATGACTCCAAGATCCCTTTCCGCCTCCGTGCTTTCAAGAAGGGAACTCCCCATCCTGTATGTATGCTGTGGATTCCTTCTCCCAAGGTGCAGCACCCTGCATTTGTCTACGTTGAACTCCATCCTATTCTCATCTGCCCACTTTTGTAGTCTGTCTAAATCTAGTTGCAGCCTCTCTCTCCCTTCAAGTGTGTCCACCTCACCCCACATCTTAGTGTCATCAGCAAATTTGGACAGTGTGCTTTCCACTGCCTAGTCCAGATGATGCATAGGGATCGCTTCACTGAAATGAAGGAACTTCTAGCACAGAATATACCAGTTGTTTAGCAATGTACCACATTATTTCTGGGGAAGAATGCTCTTTCTAGCTGAAGCAACAGGAGGAATTAAGACAGGCAGAATGGCTGAAATTTGGAATTCAGAGCTGTAATTTGTCCAGCACATGGATGATAGTAACATGCCTCTATGAAGTGCCCTGGAGTGCTGACCTCCCTTTGCGTCCTTAACTGATACAGAATTCTTGTCCTAACTATTCAGTCACGGCTTTGGGGGCTCCAAAACAGTTGATTTCCCTTTGAAGCTCTGTCTTAATCAGATTGAGCTCATCCTGTAGGCTGATGCATTCACATAGGACTGAGCAGTAAGGCTGTAGGCCAGATTAACAGAAATGAACACTGACAGGTGCTATCACCTGTCTCATTTAGCTCACAAGAATCAATTTCCCCAAGCAAAAAAATTAAAAGAAATAAAAAACCCCCAAACAAAACAATCATTACCAAAAATTTGCTCTGGAGTAGTGTTCCATGTAGAGCTGCTCATCAGAAAAAGGAGCCAAATGAATGTCACTAAATGTTGGAAACATCATTCCTAGTAAACAAAAGAATATGTACACAGTAGCAAAGTTCAAACATCTGCTTGCTCCTATGAAAACATCTATACAAAATGGCAGCAAGAAAACACCAATCCCACAAGCAAGAGTTGTTGTATATCACAAACATAATAACATTCAGCCTCATTAGGGGGAATAACATCCAATTTACTGGAATATGACATGTTGTAGCAATCAATAAGAAAAAAATTCTACTTAGTGATAACCTCTGATAAACTTCTGCCCCTCAATTAAGTATCTAAGTAATTTATCTTTTTTCATCTTAAGTGAAATGATAAATGATATTCTGTAATTCCTTCTCACCACTCCCTACCCCTGGAGAAACAGGACTTTGTTTACTTATAAGGTCAGATATTCATGGCATGATATTATACATGGAAGGACAGCACTGCTGATCTTGATACAGTATTATACACCACACTGGAATTTTTTTACCTAGGTATTTCAAAGCAATTTACAATATGTTAATAAAACAAGCTTTACCACATAAGTATCTTTTATACTAAATGGAGACATTTAGGCCACTGACAGGAGTAAAAAACAAAACAAAACAAGTGTTTTACGGGAAGAGGAAGTGCATTAGTTTGACCTGGCGCCCCAACACCTGTACAGATTGGGTGCTTCAGCAGGGCTTTTTTTACTGCTTTTATCTAACAGCTGATTGAATTAGCTTTAGACAAAAGTGCCAAAAAGCCCCACTGAAGCACTCGATCTATACAGATGTTGGGCAAGCCAGGTCAACCTAACACAATGCCTCGTCTGGGCATGTGGGGTACTCGGTGTGGGGGCACACCAAGCTAAAAGTAAAGCACCTTCTTTTTTCATGTCTGTTAGCAGCCATAGCGGTTTACATACATCACACACCAGAACAAGGAACAAGATTTCAGGGTCCTGATTTCCATATATTCTCCTTAGGAACCCAATCCCACATCCACTGAAGTCAGCAGGAAAAGTTCTTCCCACTGATTTCAGAAGCCAGTAGATTAGCCTGCCTCAGATACCTTTAAAAATAACATAATAAAAGTTTTTTCATACTGAAGTTTCTGTGTCAGTGGGAAACTGGGAATAAAGATTGGTCATTTTTGGACTCAAAATAGGTATTAGGAAAAACAAATTCATCTGGTGCAAAATGTGGTGATAGAGGAAAGGACAAATAGCATTCTCTACAAGTACAACACATGGGAAGAGGCCACAGGAATTTCAAGTAGAATCAACACCCACTCACTCAACAGACATACTTTTGATGCTTTTTAGGCTGCCTGTAAAATAACAACATTTTCGCAGAGCAAAACTTGAGATGGGGACAACTGGTTTAAAAATTACTCACAATGTCATGTTGCTACTGCTGCTATAGTTTATACACATTTTCCACTTATGCAGTATTTTATATTTTCAGTGTGCTGTAATTCATTAACTCTAACATCTCTCTGTGATATGAATAAGCATCATCTTCCTTGTACAGATGAAGAAACAGATATAGAGAAAAAAAGGCCTACATTCTTAATAGTGTCACTAATCTAGTTGCCTGAGATTTTAGGTGACCAACATGAGTCACCAAAACCCAGCTTTTCAGGATGTGCTCGCCACCCACAGCCCCGCTGTAGAGAATAGGAGTTGTAGGTCCTTCTCACACCAGAAAAGGTCCCACAAAACCATTTGACCAGGTCTCATTTTTGACCAGGTATGTTCAGCTCCCATCTGTCCTTCATTGCTCTGGGTTTGAACATATTGTGCCATCATCTTATATATTACTCACATATTAACTTCAAAACATAAAATGGAAGGAGGACCACCCATGCAGAAGTATGAATTTTGAGCCAGCTGGGTTCACCATCAAATTGTATCCTGAAACAGTAACAGTGCTGCTTCCACCACACAAATGAAGGGGAAAATTCTCTACCCTCACCCTCTTCATGATGTATCTTCATCACTGAAGATATATAATGTGGAACAACCTACCTACAACCATCTCCAGAGGCCCTGCTGGTCTCCATTCTCAGAAGGCCATCACTTTCCCCTATCACTAGACAATCATCTTGGCACACTCACCATTCGACTTCAACCATTTTTTGGAATGGAGGTAACTTTCCAGCATCCTCTCATTGAACAACATGTAACCCATTGGTTCAGAAATAACCACGTCAACATTCTCAGGTAGGGAGATTTCCTCAATTTTTCCTGATAAAACCGTGATCTTATCAGAAAGGTTGTTACTTTTCACTAATATCTGGAGAGAGAAAAGAATAAAAAGCACATGTGTTGACTTGTTTCATTAGACATGATTCCTCAGAGAGCTCTGATGAATGTAAAATTGTCTGCAGTGCTCTGCAACTAGTAACTTGAACCACATCTCAAATAGCCTATAATAACAATTTAAAAATAAATAATACAGACTCATTTGTTATTACAACCAGAGCTTCTAAAAAGACCGTCATCAGAGCAAACATCCAGCTAGAAATTACTGGAATTAGTATTTAAAAGGAAAAAAAATGTAACACAAACACATGCACAGAAAGAGGGAAGTTAATATTCAGTACAGAAGAATATACCATAGGGATCTTTATGTTTCATCGCAAAGATCTACAGAGGGCTGCTCCTGGATGAGCTATACAGCCACGAAGGGATGCAAGTTCACAGATATCAGACAGTCTGAAACTTGTTGATCACTTAAATGAGCCTCTGCCTACATTTAATGTACAGGTTAGTTATTCACAACGGTATCAATATTTCATTTTAATTAGTCTGAATGGGGAAAAGCTGTAGAGGGGGATTCTGGAACATGGCATGCTGCTCTGGGGACAACCTATCAGCAATCCAGTGGAATCCACCAGGCAAACGTCAAGGAAAGCAACTATACAAATACAATCAATGACCAAAGATAGATCCTTAGAGCCTGCCAACAAGAGTTGCACTAACTAGTGAAGCCCTAAAGGTATAGCAGACAGGACAGAGAGGCCATCTAGGTGCTTTGCATCCTATTTTATCAAAGGATTCCTTTGCCTCAATCCTTCCAAAGCCCATTCACAGATATTTTGTGCATGAGACCATGCATTCTGCAGTATAATGTAGCTCATGGTAAAATGGCCCTGGCAGGGAAAAATAAATTTTCCATTTAAAGGCATAGGGGTACTTGAAAGAACAGTTGCTTAAAAGGGACAGATATCCCAATCTTTCAGTTCAGGTCAGATGTTTGTAGGAAAGATTTTCACTCGTATTTCCACATCTTTCTGTTAGAGTAGGTTTTTTTTCATTTACTATAGTAAAGCATGGCAATACATTGTGTGACCTTGAGCTACAATTGACCAGAACACAAAAGAAGGCAGAGGCAATATGCATCTCAGTTAGTCAGAACAGATACGTTTTTGCCTTTTGTCTGACAAACATCCATTAAGCTGGCCCAGGAAAGAAGATAATTTCATTTCTGACACTAGATTATGTCTCTAGTGGGTTATGGAATAGAGAAAATCCCACACAATTTACTAATTCATTTGATGCACTGGCTGGGGGAGTAGTTAGTTGATTGCACGATTTCACAATGATTGCACACTTAATTCATACAACATAATTTTATTTTAAAATTCTTTGCTATGCATATAACACTGCTTAGCTTTAAGAAATACCACAAACATTAAGAACACAATAACTACATATATCAGAAACAATGCTCCAAATGCACTTCCTTCTCAAACAATGTTATAAGAATTAGTATTACAAAAACAAATACAATTACAACTAAAAGTTAAATTTGAATCAATACTGTTATTATTCATAATATACTTACAATCCTAGAATTCCGAGAAGCCAAACACCTAAATATGTTTTCGTTCCCCAGTAGTACAATTTAATGGGTTGGCCTCAGTAGTACGGTTCAATGGGCTGGCCTCAGCAGTATGGTTCAATAGGCTGGCCTCAATACTGATAGGACTAAGTCCCCTTCCTTCAGTCCCTTTTGGGCGCTCCGCAGCTTCAGCGTGAACTAAGAGATTCGTGTTCACGGAGAGGGTGGTTCAGGTGATCAGTCTGATCCGGCCTACACTTGCGATTCTTCCTTCGATGTTCTGCAAGTGAGGTTACCTCCAAATTGGGACAGTAGGTTACAATTTTTATTGAGTGAGTTGCAGTCTTAGGCCCCTCCTACCCAAACCTGTCACTACTCCCAAATTTGGGCTCGGATCTTTCTTAACAGATTTTTGCTGGGTTCAGTTTCTTTTGTTGATCATTTTAATTACTTTGGGGAATTTCCTTTCTTTCCAATCTTTTCAAAGGCTCCTAGGGTTTGATTTCTCAGGATATTTTCTTAAGGGTCATTTTTAGGTTAACTTTGTTAAAGGCCTCTAAAGATAAAATTCAAGAGTTAAGACTTTGAGCAAAGTCAGGACCTTCCGCACGTAGACCAAAACAATGGCCTAGATAAGAAGATGAATCTTGTCTTCTTCCTAAACTGGCTAATGGGCAACTATTATAAGCATTCAAATATTACATTCAATATGACAGATTATAAACACATCTGCTGCATATTTTCTCTATACTTGTGTCTTGTTCCTTTTTATTTTTGTGCTTGCTTGTACACTTTGGAATAGTGCTCATGTGTCATTCAAATATTTGACCAGGATTGCCCATGTTGTCAACTGTTCAATGGCAAGGTTGTCAAAATGTAATACAAATGGGACCAAAATATTTTATACAGGCAAAGCAGAATGCTACAGAATTAGGTGGTATCCAAAACTAGCAGAAACTGAAAATATCTAAGAAAGTTACTTTAATTAAAAATTCCTTAAGTGATAAGTGAAGAATTAATTCATCTAATATCTGCAACCTCTACAGACTTAGAATGATTCTCATATGGAGTCAAAAGTGTGCATAATTGTCTCCTAGAAAGATAAGGGAGTTTTAGAGAATTGTATTAAGTGACATCTTACTTTTGCAGTAGTCTTTTTCAGTCTGAAGGATACCAAAGCTTTTCATGATGTATATTCTATACCCGGGAATCACTTTCATTCACAGTTCTGGGATGAAATATAGTAGCTGTTTCATAGTGCAGAGCAAACTGCATATTAGTTTAGAAGGAATCAAAAGTGCAGGGGAAATCAATACGTAAAACTAAGGGTAGAAACAGACGTTGCTTGATGTCTCATTTGTGCCACTATAAAACTTATGGTGACACAAATGGTGGGCAAATAGATGTTGCTACCCTTTGTTGCACCACATCAGAGGAAAATCATTGGCATGACAAAAGGTAGTAATAGAGTCTGCCTCTTTATTGCATCAGGTGTCTATTAGCTCTGTGGCAAAAAGGTACAGGCAGCCTGAGCTGCTCATGCTCTCCGGTCACCTTGGGCCCCCTCGAGACCTGGGACCACGTACTTGGGTTTCCCCCTGTTTATAGAGAGGCAGCTTGAGGTACTTTTCTTTAAATGGGGAACTTGAGGTTCCCTGCTTACAAAAACTTGCCCCAATCTCCAAGGACTGTGTCTGTAGGCAGGAAAAGCCCATAAAGGTCCCGGCATGGAGGGACAGGGCCCAGGGAATGCCAGTGTCCCATGCATCCACTTCCCTAGACCCACTCTTGGAATCTCCAGGGACCTGTCCCCAAAGATCCCCGTTCACTCAGACACACTGCTGAATCTCCAGGGGTGGGTCTGGGTAAGCAAGGAAACCCAGACTTTCCCTGTTTACCCAGACCCACTCCCAGGATCTGCAGGGATGAATCCAGGGGCAACGCATAGGGGGTGCATGGGGGTGCATGTTCACCCCCTGTCAGGCCACACTCCCTGTTTAGCCGGCGGGCAGGGGGGCAGGCGGGAGCACCAGTGCCCCACCTGAAAGCGCTGGCTGGTGAGTGGGGCCACCAGCAAAAGTGGATGCGGGAGTTCCGGAAGTAGCGTGGCTGCTTTTATGGTGAGTGAGATCAGCCATGGGGGACCCCCCTCCCCGGTCAGCAGGATCAGCCACCAGGGGACTCCCCTGGTTGCTGACTGGTGTCGGAGGGGGCATGTGCCCCCCCGACTCAAGAGGCACCAGACACCCATGGATGAATCTGAGTAAGAGGGGAAAGCTGGGCAGGTGTTCTCAGGGCTTGGGGGACCCAATACTGCCCAGGAAATCCCAGGGCACACAGGACCAGGCCCCTTAACCTCTGGGAGAACACACTGCCCCTTGTCCTGCACCATCAAGGGGTAAGGCAAGTGGTGACGTGTTTCACTCAATGAAGCAGATCACCTGTGTTGTGACATCTCAGCACAGCTTATCTACTTCTATCAGTGGCATCTATGGCCAGCCTTAGCTATGCTTACTGATGGCACCCGAGCAAAAAAACTAAATACAGCACCTAAATGCTGATGACTTGCTATCATGATTGCTGCTACTTGATTTTCTCTCTCCCTGTGACCTCAGATAAGATTTGTGACATATCATATACAAACAAAAAACCCTTCTAATAATATAGTATTCCCTAAAATCAATACAAAATCTACTGGCAAAAGGCATTTCATGTTCCATTCTAGTGGTTGGTCCAAATGGAGGATGATGGACTATAACTATTGATGCCAATTATACCATTAGCAAAAGTGTTAAATGTGCTGTGCATCTAAACCAGCAGTTCTCAAATAGGATACCACACAATATTAGTACTGTTAGGTACACAAACTCCTACATGATTCACAAGACAAAGCCAGAGATTTCAAATAGTAACGTAGAGTCCACAACATTCTGACCTGTAGTGGTCTTGCTGAGTCTTTGCAACAGAAGAAATTATGTACTCTTTTTCCATAGTCAATAAATGAGTGAGCTAAGAGCTAGTATTTTCTGATGGGTGCTTCAAGTCTAAAAAATCAGAACTACTGATCTAAACCCACATCTGAATCTTCTTCGTGAACTAAGTTAAGAGTCGACATGTTTCCACGTGACAGAATTGCAGGTGGAGGAAGGAGTTTGGTTTGCTTTAAGACTGGGGCTTCTGGAAAATATAGTAACAGTTATAAATTAGACAATTACATCTAAAAACTAGATTAAAAAAATAAAAGTTATGAATTGAAGTGCTCAAAAGTTAAAAAGGAATAGGCTCAAAGTTGCTTGTACAACCTGAACTGGATCCTTATGTGCATATGCATTACAATAATCTTTAGCATATGATCACTAAGTCCTTTTCCTTGGCTCTATTAGAGAAAAGCAAATGCTAAATCAAGCCCAGATACTATACATGCTCACAGACTATTAAATGAACCATAT